CTGCTTTCAAATGACGGGACCTGAGGTATAAATGTCAGCCAGATACAGAGGAAACCTCTCTGCAGAGAGGAACATGGCAAACATAAATGGTTTTTTCCTTCTTCCCAGGACATCCCATGGTGCACCATTCACAGACAAAATGGTGTGGCCACGTACTGAGGTTACAGAGTTGTTGTTTAACATTATTTTCTTCTTTTATCATGATTTTGACAGTCATTCATAAAAAAACACTAATCAAATAAAATACCAAACTGAGATCAAAACAAAAAGTCAGAAATGTATAGACATTAGGACAAAACCCAAAATAATTCAAAAACATACATATTCAGAAGTAGTTATTTTTGATTTCAGCATAAGGTACATTTTTCTGTGTGTGCTGTTTTTGGTGGAATGCAACGTGAAAGAGTTTTTTGTTTGTTTTTTGAAGAAATATGATTTAGGTTAACTTATCCACCTGTTGTCAAATACCCCCTCTGGGTCTCTCATTTCTTTCAGTGTGAGACAATAAAAATAAAAAGACATCCCCGTCAAGTTTCAACCTGGAGTTACGTTACATCTAACAACCGATGAACCAAAGAGAACCCCCCAATCAGTGAACACAACCCCTCATCCTTTCTCTGAGCAGGGAGGGACCAACAACTAAATCCCACAATGTTTGGACTTTTGTTTTTTAGCTCCACAACCAAAAGAAGAGCATACAAGCAGGAACAGCTGGATGCACCGTTCCCTGTGCGCCTGTGGCTTATCCAAGATGTGGAGTTGCAAGAAAATACCTGAAAAACGTCTACGTGGCACATATTGGTCAGTCAGACATTTGAAGCGTCTCTTTTTCTCTTTCCCCTCTTTTTGTGAGAGGAAAGCAAAACAACAAAATGTCAGAGACAGGAAAAGAACAGTGGAGGACACAATAGTTCCCAGAGTATCACCTTTCGCCTTGCCAACCTCCAAGGTAAGGGATACATTAAAGTACGAGGCACCCGGAGGAGTAAGAGTTCTGTAGATGAGGTATAGAAGTTGGGCTTTTTGTTTCCCAAATTTACAGACGGGTGAAACATTAAAGGGGAAACTTTATCCTCTTAACCTGTGATAAAACCTTGTTTTTTTTTATCTTGATGGACGTTATCCATTTCAGCAGGGCAGTGCTCCATCTGATGGACATGGAGGTAACTGTAAAGTTTGTTTCAAATGGTCTGTAAGTTGGTGGAGACTTGGCCACTTTTCAGTGTTTTCTACCACCATCATTATTAAAACTCCAGATGGATTAATGTTTCAACATGGGGCGGCTGTGGTTGAGTGGTTAGAACCGTCATCCTCCAATGGGAGAGTTGGGGGTTCGATTCCACCAGCAGTCACATGATGAAGTGACCCTGGACAAGACGCTGAACCCCTCACTGCCTCTGATGTGTGACCCATCAGTGTATGGATGTGATAAAGCTCTGATCATAGATCCAGTAGAGAGCTGTATGAACGGGTAGATGAGGCACAGACTGTTGTAAAGAGCTCTGAGTGTCTTGATCAGACAAAAAGTTTGATATATAAGTACAGTCCATTTACCCTTTTTTTAAAGAATGGCACTCTAACTCTAATGGCCCCACACAGTTGGTTGTTATTGGAGGACATTGTTGGAGTGTCTGGAAATGTCAGGCACTCGTGAAAGACCTTGCAACTGCCTAAACCATTGGTCAACCACTTTGTACAGGTTCATGGTCTGGTTCAGAACCAGTCAGATCAGCAGACACTTGGTCAAATCAAACTCATGTTAAAGTTGGTATATAAGAGAGCAACATCATCTGCTCACAATAAAACAGCCTGAGGTATCTGCCTTTGCCCATAGAAATAAAAAACATCAAAATCTAACACATCGACTGTATTTACACCAGCCTTTGAAGGAGTGTCTATTGTTGAAGGAGCTTCGCACAAGGAGTTGTCTTGTGAACATCAAAAGAATTCAGCTGCCTCACTGACATGCTTTTCTCCCTTTAATCTATCACCCGTCTGTGAAACACATCCATTGAATATAGTGTAGGTAGTTGAGTCTGCGCCATTTTCCGGCTGACCAATTCTGCTGCCCAGACCCTGTCTCAGTCCTGAGGCATTTACAGTACTGAAGGCTACTGGTGCACGCCTGCTTGTAGACTCAGCAGCGTTACCAACGCTAATGCAAGCAGCTTAAAATAAGAGCAGAAATATTCAAAAAGAGTCTGTTAAAAATGAAGTGTCAATGCTGAATCTGGGAGACGCCTTCAGTTCACACAATTCTTGTTCCATGTAGGTGGAAACAGATGTGCACCGATCTCTCAAGTACACTTGAAAACAGTGCAGAGAGTCAGCTCAGTGAGGGATTTTCAGACAGGTGGAGCTGCTAACCACTCAACAAGAAACATTCAGAAGAACCAAAGAAAAATCAGACAAGAAATAAATATATGTATACCACAAATGGCATGCACCATCATAGATTAGGTCAGGCTGGAAGTGGGACTTCAAGCACCCCCCATTGTTTTTAGAAAACAAGCTAAAACTTTACAATCCAAACGGCCAACAAGGGTCAATTAGAGAAAATTCAGTAGATTATTTAGAGATTATTGTAAATTATTCACACATACTATTTGGCATTGGAGGAAGTGCCCCTCTCAGGGGAACTCAGTCTAAGTGCTGTTTGAATTTGTTCATGCAAACCTGTGCATTACATGCCAATTACATCGTTTGTGTACGTATATTTTGTTCTTCACGTGTTACATGAAATAAACCAAGAAAGAGGCTTAAACGGGACAAGTCCCTCCTTTTTTCAACAAGGAAGGAGCTCAGCATCAATCGTGTTGTAAAACAAATATTCAGAGCTGGACGAGCATCTCTGCCAACACCAGAACTTTGACTGGGTTCAGATCAGTGCATTGTTTCTACGCTGGACCCAACTCAATGTGCACACCAACCTTTTAGACACTTTACATGCTTCGCATTAAGTGTTGGATGCATTTCATGCATGGTGACCCCAGGAATTATTTCCTCTACCAGCGGGAGTCTTTTATAGAACAATTCAAGCAATTAATGTGGATAACCAATAACCACACAAAAGGATCAAGATTGTATACAATAGGCAGTACATTATTCTACTTCTATTTAGATTGTGACCAATTTCATAAATATGACATATTGTGAGTTTAGACATCTTTGTCTTAAGATTGTGTTTAATTACTCACTACTCTAACCATAATATTAGTTCAACCCCAAAATCAGCCCAAAAACTGGTGCATGCCATTTTTAAAAGAAAAACAATAAAATCAAATAAATAAAGTGTACAATACATTTAAAAATGGAGTGAATGATCATTTCATCTGAGCAAAGTTACAATTCTCGTGTTAACGCACTCACAGACTGGGTGAGCAGCAGGCAGTGTCAGGAGCAAAGAGCATGTAGAGATGAGTGGAGGGAGAACAACAAGACACCCGTACGCACAGTTCACTTGTTTCAGGTGTCGAACTTTTTCTTGTTTTGTGCAGAGGTAACTGGGGAGGGCAAAAAATAAAAGTGTAGTTTGGGTCCAAGCTGCAGCTTTCAGAACATCTCCAGACTAAAGCTTTTTAATTCCTTCTCTCTGCTCTCCTTATCGCTCTCTGCTCCATTTGCCCCAGAAGAAGAGCTACACTACATCCATAACTCTCAGTTTATTTCTCTCCTGTTTTTTCCTCTTATGTTTGGAAAGTGCTACTTCAGTTCAGCGCCACGAGTTTAGTTGTCAAACCCAACATTAGTGTTTTTCTGCCCTTTCTGTTTCAGTAGCAGGTCGATTTCCTATGGCACTGCCATAGTAATCATGTGGCATTACCACACAAAGCCTTAGTGAGAGGCATGTCCTGTCCTCTCGGTCTACTATAGGTCCAACAAGAAATCACCATATTCATAACCCACATCGACTGTCTCAGTTACCCTGAGTTCAAATGAGGAGAAAAGAAAACACCCAGAATTATGGATTGGCTTTTAAATAGTCATAATAACTTATAATATATTAAAATCTGCCTTTCCCCCACCTATAAACTACCCCGTCCCCCCACTGCATATTACCCACCCCCTCACAAAATGACCACCCCTCAATAAATGCACATTGTTTAATACATCACTGCCTTTCAATTGTCTTTGAAGTTTGAAGGAGAGGAATTGTTTAAAAACTGATCAACTAAGCTGCACCTGCTTAGTTTGATAAAAAAATAAAAATAAAATAAAAAACCATCAGCAACATGTTGTACAAGCTAAATTTGATCAACCTGGGCTAAAGCCTTTGTAGGAGCTCAATAATGAACTGGATAGCAGCACAGTTTCACATTCTGGTCCTAAAAGGCTGTCATCCAATAAAGACTTCCAGGAGGGGGAGGGAGGTTCACTTTGTCACCATTTGGAGGACAATCTGAAGGTGGTTCCGCCTTTTCGGGATCAGCATCGTCAGGCTGATGGAGGTCCATGAGGTAGCATCCCACCCTAAAAGCAGCTGATCCATAGTCAGAGTACCCTTCAAGTTGTCCCATGGCAAAAAAGAGGGCAAATTCGGGTTGTCCTGCATCTGAATATGAATCAGCATTCAGAGGCGATGTGCACCTCCGACCCATTGCAAGGTTACGACTGGGATTCAGAGACAGACCATAATAAGTGCATGATGCATGGGCAACAATGCCGAGGTAACCTGGTCTGTGAGCGCCAGACCCAAAGTGTAGTGCAAAAGAAAGCAAAACAAATGAAAAGAAAAAAGAGAGGAAAAAGAAGTCGATTACAGAAGTCAGTAGTGTCCACAAAACTCACAAACATGCATCCCTGAATGACTTTTGTGTCTTCTCTCGCTCAGAAGAGAACAGGTTAATCTTGCTTTCGTCCGCACAGAGATAAGCACAATATTTTAAGGAGTAAAGAAAAGATTTGCAGTTAAAGCATCATGGCTACCTGGCAAGAAGAGAATGGGTCTGTTTCAGAACCCTGGTGAGGAATATCAACGGTGCGATTTATCCTTAGAGGTGGCTTCAGAGGTAATACAGAGCTCGCTTACCAATTTTCAGCTAGCTTCCACGACTTGGGGAAATTATAAAACGACTAATCTGTCAAAGTTCTTTGAAAATTTTCAACATTCCCCTCAACTTCCCCTCCAAAACTGAATTTGCCCAAAACCCAAACTGCATTTATAAGCAGCAACATATGACTGTGTCGAGTTCAGACCAGAGGGGAGTTTGGGGTTTCGGGCTGGGGGCTATCAGCATGCTTTAGAAATTTTCATCAGCTGTCTTTTACTTAGTCCTTAGTTGCATTTGTTAAGCTCTTGGATATAAAAGCTAAACAAATGCTTGCGCAGCGTCTTTCAAGTGACGCAGGATAAAATCGCTCCGACTGGTCATTTTTCTTCAGTTTGTTTTTAGGAATCCTCCTCACGTTATCCCTGCGTTTGTGCTCACCCAGATACTGCAAAGTAATTGGCACAAAGAAAGCCCCATCCATTTTGAAGTTACTTAGGTCATGTGACTGAGGTTTACATGTGTAAGTTGTTTAGTCGATTGGTTTGATATCGTCATCCTCCTCTTCTTTTACGCTGTCCTTGAGCTCAGCAGCTGCGAGCGGCAGGCCGTCATCGCGTGGGGTTGTAGTGGGTGTGTTCTCCGATTCTGTGGCAAAATCCTGACCGCCGGCATCCATTTTCATCATCAGCTTGAGCTTCTTTTTTGGAGGGTTCTTCAGTGTCCCCATGCGCTCCTTTACCTTGTACTCAAGGGTGCTGTGTGGGATCCCATACATGTTTTGTGCCTTAGACACACTCATCTTCCCACTCATCACTACAGCTATGGCTTCCTCCAGAATCTCACTGTTGTATTGACGATAGCGACCCCTCTTCTTTCTTGGCTGCTTGGAGTTTGGGTCTCCTTCCACATCAGAGATGGAATACGCTGGCCCAGAACTGGAGTGGTCCAAATCAGAGCTCCAATAATCGGCTGCCCCATCCAGCAGACTTCCAAGACTGCCTCCTCTGCGGTTCTGCTTGGGCAGGATGGCTCTCAGTTTCCGACTTAGGATATTTTCACCATGGCCACCTCCCCCTGACCCCACGGTTCCATAACCATACAGCTCAGAGGCATGGGAATCCCAGGAAAGATCCATCCCTCGAACTTGGGGGATTTTTAGGTCAACTGGCGGTGAATGGCCCTGCTCTCTCTTGCCCTCATTGTGATGATGTTGGGCCTTTGAGACTTGATTGTGGCTGTGATGGTGGAGGGATTTTTTATAGGAGAAGGCTCCATGGTGGTTTTGGTGGTGATTCTCTAGGATTGTAGGCAGGTCTTTGAGGTCACTTAAAGCTCCACCAGCCTGCTTTAGTTTCATCAGGCTTTCAAGGTGGGCCTTGCTTCCCCAAAAAGAGGAATTGCCCTTCTGACTAAGCATGGAGTGGGACTGCCCATGATTTAACAAAGCAGCTGACTCTAGGTTAGCCAATGAGAGGGCAGTGGGCTGACTCAAAAGGCGGTGCTTCTGGCTGAGGAGCTCTTCTTTGATGCGCAGTGAACGGGCTAATGGGGGCTTGAAGGAGTTGGAGTTGACGTAGTTCTCCCTCAGTCCATCCTGCAAACTTCTCTGCAGGGGGCCATCTTCTTCCTCAACCTCTGACAGGGTATGTTCTGCTTTAGGCAAATGTCTGCAAGGAGAAGAACAAAATTATTTATGAAGTGCCAAAGTTCTTAAACATGTTGCATTTTTGTTTAAAAAGAGTCTGATGAAAATGACATTTGTTACCTTGTGTTTACATTCTGTAACATGACGCTCACAAAATCATTTAATAACAAACCATAGTCCATTCAGAAAGTAATCAGATTACCTGCTTTTTCAGTAGTTTTGATACACTGCAGCCTGACGGTGTACCAACTTAAAACAGTTTTTAATAATCTACATTTAGTTCCCCATAATTATATAGTGAATAAATATTTTTTACAATACTGTAATTTCATTAGAAAACAAACAACAAACATTATTTTTGGTTAAGAATTTCAATTCTTTACTTAAAACTTTGTTGAAGCTCTTGTGGCAGCAATTCCAACCTCAATTCTATCTTTGCACCTTAAATATTTTAGGGCTTGATGCAACAAGCTCCACATGGGGGAGTGGTGGCGCAGAGGTTAGAAGATGGGCCTGTGATCGGAAAGTCACAGGTTCAACTCCCGGTACCGTCAACATCAAAATGTGGGTGGAAAAAGTGGAACACCCACACCTGCCTCCACCCTCACTCGCTCCACTCTTGGCCCCTGAGCAAGGCCCTCAATCCCCACCATCTGCTCCTAAACAGGTCTCTGTTGAAAATGAGTTCTCGTGGCTCAGTGAGACTACATGGATAAATAAAGGTAAATGAAAAATAAAAAAACCATCTTGAATGAGAGATTTTCTTTTCTGCTCATTTGAAGCACAGTTCGGTTGGACGGGACCCTCTGGTGGGCAGGCACTTTCAGCTTTATCCAGATATGTTCAATGGGGTTTAAGTTAGGACTATGGTTGGGCCATGCAAGGACATTCATAGAGTTGTCTTAAATCCATGTCTGTATTGTCTTTGTATGTTTTGGGTCTGTGTCATGTTGAAAGTTGAACATTAGGCCCAGTCTGAGGGCCTGAACACAGTGGAACATTTTTTTTATTGAAGGTATATATGTACTTTGTCATATTCTGCTTTCCTTTAACCCATTTCAGTTTTCCATTTGTTACTGATGAAAATTCAGTTTTTAAGTAAAAAAGAGACTGTAAAGAAAAAAAAGAAACTGCTAGCAGCACGGTCCTGTAACAGAATCACACTGCTAACAGTACCATGCTACTAACAGGACCACGCTGCTAACAAAACCTCAATGCTAACAGTACCATGCTGCTAACAGGA